TATATTTTAACTGTAAAATATTACAAGTAACTTATATTATATTAATATTACTGAATTATGAAATCAGTCTCTTTCTCAGATATAGAGAAATTATTAATACAGAATTCATTCTTTATTAATATTCTAGTAACAGCTGTTAGACTGACCGTGTGACTGTGTCTGAGATCAGAATCAGATTTTTTAATAGTTTCATTATCAATTTAACTGATCTCATTACACAGTTTTAACATTAGATAGTAGTCTCATACTGTCTCAGTGAGACTTACTGTCTACTCTTGTTACATTTTTCAAATAAGATCATGATTTTCACTTCTCAATTTAAATTATTTTTATTGCTTTAAATGACTTTAAATCTCATTTGAGTGTTATCAAAAAGTGTTACTTTTTAAAAAATTAAAAATAGTCTAAAAAAACCTTAAAATGTCTAAAAATAGTAACTTTATATCAAGAATGAGACTAAATGAGATTAAATAAGATCACTTTCTTATTTTTTTCAAGTCATGATTTCATTTTAAGATCTGATATATAGTCACTTTACATGTTTTTTTAATAGCCAGTCCCAGCGGGATTCACATCAAGAAATGTATAGAATCAGACTAAATAAGATTAAATGTGAAATTCATGATTCTGACGGCCAGTCTAACAGCTATATTATCAAGATAGAAATTCTTAATAAGATATTTAATATATTGACAATGTATTAAATCAATTCTCTTATTCAAATAATTAATCTTTATACTTAAATACTTGATTAACTGATGTAGATTCTTAACTTTCAATTTCTCACTAAGTATACTCACTAGTCAATCAGCATTCTCAGAAGCTTTGAATATAATATTAAGATTATCAATATAGATTGTTATATAGAGGTGATATCTGAATATATAATATTAAAGTACTGAATTATAAGTGTTAACTATAAATTCAAGATCACTTAACAGAGTTATTAAGTAATTATATCAGATCTTCACTGCAGAATTCAGACTGTATAGACTATTCTCAACTGTGTAAATAAGTGTTTTCAATGAATCTGTCTCAAATCTGATAAATTATCTTATATAGATCTTCTTAGTGAGATACTTATAAAGATATATTATTACTATATTCATCTGATAGAGTATTTAACTGTGTAGTATTGCTATTATAAAAAGAATATAATTAACAGTATCAGTGATAACAGAAGTATAAATCTCTTCTCTAAAATTCTTCTTAAATCAGTTATTACAAATCACTCAATATAATTTTCTAAGAATATTATCAGAATTAATATTCAGATTCACAGATCTATCTTTCTTAAGAAATACTTAACAGTCTGAAGTAATCAGTTCATCTCTTAAGATATCAGATCTAGAGATTAAACTTCATATATTATATCTCTTCAGATCAGTAATCTTACATTATATAAACTTCTTTTAATAATCTTCTATTCTCTTTAACTGAGATATAACATTCTTATAGAACTTCAGAAGATTGTCTGTAATAAGACTTAAAGTATAAGTAGTCAGCAATTTCACAGATTATAATTATATAGAATTCAGATCATCAATGTCAGAGATATCTTTATTATTAATTAGATAAATATCAGACTTCAGTTCAATAATATAATTAATGAGTTTTACAGATATAATAACTGGTTTTTCAGTGATCAGAAATCTCACATCACTACTAATAATAATCTTATCAGATTTGAGATGTTATAGATAATATATTAATATGTCACTGAATTCAATAATATAATAGAAATTAGTACATGAAGAAAGCTTATCTGCAGACTGCTGAGATTTATACAAGTGAATAAAAATCTCTGTATCTAATCAGTGAAAATGTCTCACATTCAGTGAGATATTCATAAGTGTATATTAAGAAATCTTATGTAAACTTGAAATCACAGAAGTCTCTGTAGTAGAGAGTTAAAATTTTGAGTTATAAAGAACTGTAGATATGAGAGTATTATTAATTATTATAATCACTGTCTCTAGAACATCTGCTCAGAACTTCTTAGAGAGATTATCTTTCAAAAGAGCAGCTCTAACTCATTTTATAATAGTATGAATTTCACATTCAGAAACATCATTCTGATGTGATAAATGTAATACTGTTAATTCTCATTTAATATTATATAAATTCATAACTGTGTACATACATGTGAATTGAAAAACATCATCAATATCAGTTCATAGAAAAGCAGAGACTGTATATCTGAGATTACTCATGAATCTGAGTCATAACTTAAAGTATTGAACAGTCTTATTCTTGAACTTTAAAAAATATACTCAACAGTAGTGAGTTATATTATAGATAATAAGTATTCAGTATCTGATTCTCTGATGAGACTCTAAGAGATAGTTAGAGAGATCTTTTAATATACATCTATTATCTATAAGATTAATATAAATCTTCTCAATGAGTTAAATAGATCTAGATATCAGTGTTTTTAAATAATCTTGTATTATATCTATCTTGACACATTTCTTATAAAAGAACTTAGTCTTAGAATCTTTAATTATGACTTCAGTATGAGAATTCTTGATCATAGCAATTATAGTATCAGTGTGAATGTGACTGAGATTGTAATATTAATTTAAAAGAGTCTTTGATATTCTTATATTCTGTGTTTTCATATTCACAGAATTAATATTATTAACAGTAGTAGTAGCAGTCACAGAAAGATTAACTTTTCAGTTAAAATTATACTTATAAAATATTGTAATATACTTAACTATCTTATTCAGATAATTGAAATTCTCATTAAACTTCTATTTATTAATCTTATATATATTATTCTGAACAGTCTGAACTGTATGAAAAATAACACTGTTCAGAGCTCTGCAAATGAAAAATGAGAGAATAGTAGAAAATAATATAAATCAGAATCTCTGATCTTCAAGCTTTGTAAATAAGAGCAGATTAACTGTAATATTAGAAATATAGTAAATATTCTATAAGTTAATATTATTATTCTTAATTTTCAAGATAATAGTTTTAATCTTCTTAATAAACTCAGTTCTCTCAGTTGCAGAATTAACAGAGATATTATCATTAAAAGATTTAATATTTGAAAAAGAATAAAGCTTATCTATTATATTCAGACTTGTATATATGTTCAAATATCAAGATCTAGAGAATGATTTTTCAGTGACTGTGAAAGAGAAATAGAACTCAATCTTTATAATTACTGTATTTACTGCTAATTGAGAACTTATTAAGTTATTCTTTTTCTCTTTCTTCTTATCATTCTTCTTATCATTCTTCTTTTTCTTTTTATCAGAGTGTAAGATGAAATATCTATCAATAGTATATTTATATTTTCTGCAGTGAGTACACTTTCATACAGATGTGCTTTTATTCTTATCTTTATTCTTATTCTTTTTCACAGTCACAGAATTGATCTGAGACTGCTTTTTTCACTTAATAATAATCTTCTTAAATGTATAATTAATTAGTTACTTTATCAAATCATTGATATCAATGTTAACAATGAGTTTCTAGTCAGTGAAGAAAAACTTATTCAAATATATCTTAATAAATAATCTTTGATAATTCTGCAGATTGTTGAGAAAAAGATTATAATATATATTCTCAGTACTCTGACAGAGCTTCTTATAATAGATAATAAGATAGTGAAAATATCTCTGAAAAGTAAGATAATTATTCTTCTTAACTTATAATTTTATCAATTTCTTAAAGATATTAACTTATTCTTCTATCAGTAATATTATATATTTAATATTAATCTTATTTCACAGAACTACAGTATTATCAGCTTTCAAGATTTTAATAGTAATTTAAATATTTTTAATAAGACTTGATAGTATACATTTATATAGAGACTTAGAACAGATTCTTCACTTCTTAAAGTTAATATAATATATAAAAGAGAATTCTCATTAAGTTCTTAATAAAATATCAGTTTTATTAATAACTTTTATATTAGTTAATATATTAATATATCAGACTTTATAATTAGAGTTATTAAATATAATTACTGATTTAATATCTAGTATATATTTAACTTTCTTCTGATATTCTCATAACTCATTTCTCATAGTATCTCTTTATACAGAGATAGATATAGTAAGATATTAAATAATTTTAATCACAGTTATTTAATTCTGTAGTATTATTTATATAAGATTTATAAGATTGTCTACAGTGTAATAGATAGATTGATTTAGATTACTATTAAAAATTAGCATTTTAAGAGTGAGAGATAGTAAAGAATTTAATAAGTTAAAATGAACAGATTCTGCAGATAAATATTAACTCTGTTTTTCTTTATTTTAAAACTTCTTTATTATCTTATTATCAAATTTCATACTCTGATGAAAACTAATCTTAGTCTTATCTTATAAGTTAGAAGTCTTCTCATAATAAGTGATTATTCTATTAATGAGTTATTTAGTGAAGTATATAATTCTGAGTCTTGAGCTAAACTCTGAAGTAACAGATATATCACTTATATTAAAATAACTCTGCTTCTTCTAGATATGTAAAAAAAAAAAGAGTGATATTCTTCACAATGAAGAATATACTTTCTTAAAAATATAAAGTATATAAATCTGCTAATTAGTAGATTTAGAAAAAATGAAATATCTCTAATAAAGAGTAAGAGTCTTTTCAAAAAAGATATAAACTATCTATGTCAAAAATATGTTGATACAACATTCTAAAAAGAAAAACATGTCATTCAGGCTATAACCTGTAGAATAGTTGAAGGTTGTATTGAGATCTATCTACAAGAACATAATATAGTGGTGGGTCACGTGATCTAGTGGGATCGCTAACCGCAACGGCCGTAAGGGCCAACACATTCTACTGGCGCGAGGCAGAGGAGCAAATATCCAGTTCAAGTTCCATTATTATTGAACAAATTGGATATATTAGGATTAATATGAAGTTTAATCCTTAGTATCATCTACGAGGTGGGGTATTTAAATGTCATCAAGATGCATGCTCCACAGAAATGGCTCCAAACATAAACATATCAACTAGGCAGTGATCTATTTCTTCCCCCTTTTCTTTTTTCCATTCCTCCTTTTCTTCGCACTACTGTCGGCCTTCTGACCATCTTTGTCCGTGGGTGTACGTATAGGCGGCCATTTCTTCGCATGCTCCCTCTCAAACGCTTCCTTGTCTCGTCGGAAAAGAAGCATCGTTGCCTGCGCATCCTCAACACTCGAATGGGCAGCTCCTTGTATTTCTAAACCTAATAGCTCAGAAGCTAATATCTTTAGACGTGGTGAGCTACCACCAGCAATCCTCCGGTACGGAGGGTGTTTACTGGTATCCCGGATATCACGCTTCGGATGGCTCAGGAGCAAGGCGTCTAAATCGTTTCGGACAGCATGCCCTATCAAAATGCATCCATCCAGGATTCCTGCCACGTCTTTTTGGACTACTTCAAATTCTCTGGCGTCCGCCATGTGTTTTTCTGACACCCCGCTTATGTGTGTTCGCCAGTCCGTCACCGCTTCCTTCGGCCGGACAAACGAATCGTACACTTGTTCACCATTGTAGTTGACGATACTCACGCGGGCTAGAGCCGAGTCGCGATCGGGATTCGGCCCCACGCCCACCATTTCACAGTCGATAGCGATATATTTCCCCACCTCCGTGCTGTAGATGCAGTTAGCTTTTTGAACTAAATTGCGATTAATAGTTTTGGTAGGAAACTAACGTCGGAGATATCCCTTCGTTAACCTTCGCTTCGCTAGAAGGTTTTGATTGTGTCTGCACTATTGAAGTTGTAGATCCATTCCGTTGCGAAAGAGTCGTTATAGAACGCTTTTCTGATTCTTCCCCGTTGGCATCCGTTGACAGCACCAAGCCCATCTTCCTCCTTTTGGAAAACTTTTCACCCTTCTCGCATCTGTTACCGGTTATTGATGGTGACGATAATGATGTTCTCTTCCTCTTCACTTCATGGCTCGTCGCGGAGGTATTTGCCCTGCGTTTTTGGGCGGTGGGGGGACTGTCTTTCTTCAGAGTTTCTTGAAGCTTTCGCCAATTACTCGAGAGGTTGTTTAGTTCCATTCCAATGGCGACGAATTTATGTATCCGCTCATAGCGATATTGAATAACACAATAATTATAGGGATTTTTCTGTTGGGAGAGAGCTTTAGTAGCTTGCGATGACCTGTTGGGTGGAAGTTGCGGAAAGAAGTGAATCTAGCATTTTTAAAGTTTCCGGCGCATTTCTGCAAACAGAGCAAACAGAGAGCCATGATGTCAAATATTAAATAATATATTGAAAGGCCAAGTTACTCCTCCACAGTACAAAAAAGGGCCATGATAATAGCATTAAATCTCTAGAATTCATATTGTCAAAACTCCATAAAACGCCAATTAGCTCATTAATCTATGGTTTAATTTTGAAGTCCTTGTAAGTCCATTTCTCTGTATAATCCCTCTTCGCCTTCTTCGGTTGCGTAATTGGATTTCTCGCTTCAAGTTTGCCTTGAACGATGAGATTCCGGAACCTGTCTCCGAGTAAATTGCCCTCGGGCTTCAATAAACGTAGAGAGTCTTGCAGTTCATCCGGTAAAACGACCTCCAATGGTTTGGCAGGAACCCTAAGGTAAACATTGTCAGTTAAATAGAATCCATTCACTGGTCAATGCAATCGGGTCTGCTTACGGGTTTTTCCCAAAAGGTCTCTTCCGTAGAAATCTATCGTCCCCTTCTACTAATGAGTCATCCTCTGCTTTCTGCAGCTGTTTTGCAGCTTCTTCTTTCGCTGCGACCGCTTCAGCTATCGCTTTCACTTGAGCAGCTTGTTCTTCTCGTTTTTTAAGCTTCGCCTCCCATTTCGCTTTCCTCTCAGCCTCCTTTCTCCTCTTTATCTTATTGCGTTGAGCCCTGGTTTTCCGCTCGGGCCTCTTTTTCTTAAGCCACTCAGGGGTCTCATATTCACTCTCAAAGCCCTCCCAGGCACTCTCGTCGTCTGACTGTGCCTCTCCGCTGTCATCTTTGGCAGCTTCGATTCGCGCTAATCTCTCTTGTTCTGCCTTTTCCTCTTCTAGACGCTTCTTCTCCGCGTCAACTTCTTTTTGACCCTCCTCGGTTAGAAGACGGTCCCAGTCTTCAAATGTCGGGTTATAACTTATTCCGGGATCTGGCTTTTTGATCGATGGCACAGGCTTTCCGTTGGCTGCCAATGAAAGGGATGGGAGTTTTGTTGTTGGAGGTACGACGATTGGTTTGGGCTTCTCAAGGAAATTTAATTTCGTTTGCTCTGCAGGTTCAGGAGTGTTGTCCTCATCCCAAGGGTCATGCGATATTCTTTTGTCATCATCTTGTTCCTGAATATTTGCATTTTTCGCAACTTGCTTCAACCGCATCCACTCTTTGTGAGTGACCCAGTCGCTCCTCGACCGCTTGCTTTTTGGTTCAAGTATCCCATCTGTAACTTTAGAACTTCCCCGTTTGCGGCTGTCAACTGAAGGGATTGCAGAACGGCGGGCAAGTATCTCATCACACTTCAAGGGTTTTGTACTCTTCACTTTTCGTTGGAGTTCGTCTGAGCCTTTGGAGTCTAGAACGAAGAGGTCCTCGGAAGGCTTTTCTGCAATAACACCCCTAAATTAAAGTAGAACGGATCAGTAATCTATACTTCAGGATATGATAATAATTCAATGAGGTGAATAGGCCAACCCTTCGATTTCTTCCTCTCGTACTCGCTGTAGGCCCGCATCGACTTCAGTAATATCCACATGTTTTCTCCATGCCCTTTTCCCTTTTCGAGAAGGTTGCTTGTATTGATGAGGTGCTTCGATTGCAGTCGCCATTTTTGTCAGCTAGAACCCGTATTGCTGCCCTGAAAAAGGGTTGGAGGGAATAGCAGATTTCTTTTGAGATAGCGCCCGACACAAGAAATTTTGGGTTTGGTTGGTTTATCAATTTGGTTAGCGGCAATGGCGCTAAAAAGGCGCGTCAAAGGCGCCAAAACTCCTTTGCCATTCATCCTTCTTGCACGCTTCCCGACAACATTCAGCTGGCTAGCGCAACAACCAACCTCAAGCCTGGTCATTCACGTCGCCAGTCAAGATGCCAGTCGTCAAGGGCGGAGTATGGTAAGCTACTACGTTTTTTTCTCATCATCTTGTGTTCCCGCGCGCTAATCCCCGTATCAGGACGAATATTGAGGATGAGATCGTTAAGGTAGCTGTGTCCAAATATGGACTGAATCAGTGGGCGCGAGTATCCTCCCTTCTTGCCAGGAAAACGCCGAAACAATGCAAAGCACGCTGGTCAGAATGGCTAGACCCCGCTATCCGGAAGATCGAGTGGTCGCGAGAGGAAGACGAAAAACTACTCCATCTGGCCAAGTTAATGCCTACTCAGTGGCGAACTATCGCTCCTATTGTCGGAAGGACGGCGACCCAATGCTTAGAACGATATCAAAAGCTGTTGGATGAAGCAGAGGCCCGGGAATCCGATGAACTGGGCCTAGGCGGTCCTGCCGGAGGTGAAACTGCAGCCCCTAGTGCTGATGATGTCAGAAGACTACGGTACGATAAACTCTCTCCCTGTATCGCTAATCGCCACTAATCTTTTTCCTTTAGGCCAGGCGAATTGGACCCCGATCCCGAATCTAAACCCGCACGCCCCGATACCATCGATCTCGATGAGGACGAAAAGGAGATGCTTAGCGAGGCACGTGCTCGCCTCGCGAATACACAAGGAAAGAAAGCCAAGCGGAAAGCTCGAGAGCGCCAATTGGAAGAGTCACGTCGCCTTGCGGTTCTACAAAAGCGTCGTGAGCTGAAAAATGCCGGGGTTAACATTAAAGTCGTCAGCCGAAAGAAGGGCCAGATGGATTACAATGCGGATATTCCTTTTGAGAAACAGCCAGCCCCCGGCTTCTACGATACTTTGGAAGAGGAAGCCAGGAATGAGCGGCAGAGGGCATTATTCGATCCTCGAAAGCAACAGCTTGCCAGTAAACGGAAAGGCGATCAAGACGAGGATCCCGAAAGGAAGAGAAGAAAAAATGACAAAAGTGGCAATGCTGCTTTCGCTGCGGCTGCAAAGGCAGGCCAGATGCAGAAAATCCGAGAAGCGGAACAGAGCAGTAAGCGTCGGGCCCTCGTACTCCCCTCTCCCCAAGTAAGCGAAACCGAGCTTGAAGAGATCGTGAAAATGGGCATGGCGGGAGAGCGGGCAAGCAAGATGGCAGGGGAAGAGGAGAATGATGGAACGCGAGGTTTAATCAGTAACTATTCTGCAATCGTTGGGGGCACACCCATTCGAACTCCCAGAGCCCCGGCTGAAGAAGATCGGATTGCAAACGAAATCCGAAATATCAAAGCCTTGACGGAAACACAATCCTCCCTGCTGGGCGGAGAAAATACGCCATTACATGAAGGCGGTGGATCTACTGGCTTTGAAGGAATTGCGCCGCGGAAACATGCACTCGTTACACCGAATCCCATGGCCACACCTTTCCGTCAAGCTAGTGCTAATGGTATAGGTGCCACTCCAATGAAAACGCCAATGGGCGTAGGAGCCACCCCACTACGTACACCCAGAGACAACTTTGCTATCAACAAGGATGCTGATATGGGGTCTCTTGTTGGTAACACTCCAAGGGATGTGAAATTGCGTGAGGACTTTTTACGGCGCCAATTACGCAGCCAACTTGGCAATCTTCCTACGCCAAAAGAGGTGGAGTGGGAGCTGGAGGAATTGCCAACGGAAGAAGCAGAGCCAAGTGTCAAAGAGGTGCTTTCCGAAGAGGATGCAGCTGAACGGGATAGGAGAAATAAAGCTGCCGCTGACAGGGCGGCTCAGGCTGAATTTAAAAGGCAGACCCAAGTATATCAACTAGGTCTGCCGCGACCTAGTGTTCTCAACCTGGACGCATTGGTGGGGAAGTCAAGTCATGTTTCAGACCCTGCACAGCACTTGATTACGCGAGAGATGATCACCCTTATTGCCCACGATGCCCGGAAATTCCCCTTGCCTGGTGCTAAGATTGAGGGAAATGCTCCGAAATTGGCCTCTTTTAGCGATGCACAACTGGCCGAAGCCCGTGCGGCTATCGTAGCTGAGGTGGCCTCTCTTCCTTCCCAGCAGGATTGGCAGGATACTTTCACGACCTCATGGTCTTTCCTCCATGAATCATCCGGCCTCCCAGGCCTCTCACTCTTCACCGACGACGATGATTATGAGATGCAGGAGCAACTCATGATGACCGCTTTTGACAATGTGCAGACTTCACTTCTAGCCACTGCAGAACAAGGGAATAAGTTAGAGAAGAAGATTTCTCTCCACAATGGCGGGTATCAAGCTCGGGCAAAAACTCTCAGGACGAAAATTGTGGAAGCCAATGAAGCGCTCGAGAAGGCCAAATTCGAGCTAGACGCTTTCCGAACACTTCAGCTTGGAGAAGAATCGGGTATCAGCAGGAGACTAGAGGTTCTCCGGGATGAAGTGACGTTTGTCTCTCGTCGTGAGCGCGAGGCGCAGGAGCTGTACAGATCGCGAAAGGAAGAGCTAGAGTCACTAGAGAGCGGCGCAGTGAATGGATGGGGCTAGTGGGAAGCATGACGATGATGTGATAATTGTGTCAGAGGTCTGATCAATCTATCTATCTCTTTTCTATTGGGTTGGTTGGGGGCTTGCTTGTATTAATATCATATCCTAACAAAGCGGTGACGGGTTGTCATTTTTGTTTACTGGGTTTTTTTTTAGGTTATTTTATATGGTTAGTACTTGAACAAAGCCATTCAGATTTTACAGAAAACTAGAATCGAAGTTGTTTATCTCGCCCTGGTGGGAATTTCATTTCGTTCCTTGACATGCCATCCTGTTGCTGAGTCAGGCAGAATTCCGACATTCCAACCTTGGAAAGTTTACGCCTGCCTGCAATGGGTGGGTGGCGTTACCGCGCACCACAGCCTCAAAGGCAACAAGTCCAGAGCCAACGCCAGGAACATCAAAACTTCTACCCAACAGCGAGCGACAAGGCGCATCAATCCCATCCATCAATATCTCCACCGTAACGCCCATTTCCATCTCAAAACAACGTCGTACTCCATAGAAATTATTGCTGTGAATAACATGGGCGTTAGTGACGCTTCGCAAGAGGCCTCTGGCACCCCAGACCCCGTCGAGACGGGTTTTGCCACTCTCAACTCGCTGAGGTACGCTCCCAAATTTGATATACACGAAATTCCCCATAGCCAAAATCATTCTGAACATCCACATATGCTGATTTCTGTCGATTTTGTTAAGGATCGGTGTGAAGGCTTTCGTCGAGAAGGTGAGCGAAAAAATTTGCCCAGCCACATACATCGAGTCACGTGATATCCACTACCCGCAAGAGGGATTAACCATGAATGAATATAGGATGGCGAGAATCGAAAAGCAGAGATTCTATCTATGAGACAGCGAAAGGGAGGCTCAAGTTTTTAGTAGGGCTCCTTTTTCTTTTTCTTTTTCAATTTTTCCCCCCTCTGCTGCTACTAGATACTAACGGTCGCATTAGCGTTCACTACGTCGATTTCAATAAACGGCTTGACGGTATGTTCAGAAAAGCGATGTTGAAACGTGAATTCGAAATTCCATTTTACTAATATATGCACTTTTACAGAATGGGTTCCTGCGTCCAGGATTGATTTGACCCAGGAGGTTGAGTGGCCACAGCCAGAGAAACCCGAGAAGAAGAAAGTTTCTGGTGCTGCAGCTACAAAGGCGCAGCCGAAGAATGCTCCGAAGCGACCTCGTGGAGATAGCCAAGGAATTTCCTCGACTCCGGATCTTCTTGCTGGCAAAAATTTGAATATCAGCAAGGCATCTCGTGCATCCAAGGCTGGCGGGAAGGAGAACCGTGAAGATGAAACGCCACTGAACCTTTCGCTGCTGGGCAGCGAGGTTGTTTCCTCAGTTGGCACGCCTAGACTGGATGGGGAGTCTGAAGATATCGAAATGCTCGATGCTGTTGATGTAGATGCAAAGCAAGCTATAAAGCAAGAGGAGGATAAGCTAGCAGCACAAATTGCGAAAGAAGAGGAGATTGAAAAGCTCCGCACAGGCGGGAGCATGACTCAAAACCCGACCGAGATCCATCGGGTACGAAACTTGACTCATATCCAAATGGGAAAGTTCGAGATAGAACCTTGGTACTTTTCGCCTTATCCAACACATTTCACTGATGCGGACATGGTGTACATCGATGAGTTCTGTCTCAGCTACTTTGATCAGAAACGGTCTTTCGAAAGGCACCGTACCAAATGTACCCTTGTCCATCCGCCCGGAAACGAAATCTACCGTGACGATCATGTTTCATTTTTCGAGGTCGATGGACGCCGCCAGCGGACCTGGTGTCGAAACTTATGTCTCCTTAGCAAGCTATTCCTTGATCACAAGACTCTCTACTACGACGTTGACCCCTTCCTCTTCTACTGCATGACTACGCGAGACGAACATGGCTGTCATTTGGTCGGATACTTCTCCAAAGAGAAAGAATCCGCAGAAGGGTACAATGTAGCCTGTATCCTGACGTTGCCACAGTACCAGCGTCGAGGCTTCGGGCGTCTACTCATCGCTTTTAGTTACGAGCTTAGCAAACGAGAAAACAAGCTGGGTTCGCCCGAGAAGCCTCTTAGTGACCTGGGCCTATTGGGTTATCGTCAATACTGGCGAGAAACCATCGTCGACATCCTGATGGAGCCAGGTCGAGAGAGCATCAGTGAAAGCGAACTGGCGAGTCTTAGCGCGATGACGGAAAAGGATGTACACGAGACGCTTGTTGTATTGAATCTCCTTAGGTATAACGTATGTATCTGTCTTTACCCACCTACCTTGCATGCAAGATTCCTTGCCGGAAAACAGTGCTGATACTGCTACAGCGAGGAAACTGGATCATCGTCCTCACCGATGCCGTGATCGAACAACACAAAAAACGGCTGGAGAAAGAAAAAATCAAAGGCGCCCGCAAGATCGATCCCGCCAGGTTACAGTGGAAACCCCCTGTCTTTACTGCGTCAAGTCGGACGTGGAATTGGTAGAGGCGCTTCCTCGCTTTTCTCCTTTTTCTTTGCCTTCCGCCTTTCCTGTTTCTATATAGGTGGGCAGGGTTTCCCCCTACAGCCCGACGGACGGCTTTTACCTTTTCTGGTTTTGTTTTAGGTGCGAGTTTATTTGTTTGATTTTGAGCGTTTCATGGTTTGACTCAGCGAGGCGTTTGGTGTGCTTCAGAAGGTGGTTTTTTTCTCGGTGACTTATTTCTTTCCAGTCCTTGCTTGCATTCACGGCGTTTCACTTCTTTTTCATGTCCTTTACTAGCCCCAGCATTTATATATTGGGGCTACCTTCTCTGCATGTATCCTACTAATCAACATGCAATTACCACGTTCGGTATAGAAAGCTACGTAACAAGCAAGCAATGAGACAGTATTTAGAACGGCATAAGTAGTAACGTGCTTTTCGAACAGGGCTTGAAGATATATATATATACATTGCCATCAAGATCTCTGTGACAGCATGCGATGCGACCATTTGGTCCGTCTGCGAAGAGTCGTGATACCTACCTTAATGGTAGTGGGAAATACACCAAGTCTGCTGTTCAACGTGTGCAATAATTCCAGACCCAAAGGGAAACGAAATCATGGCTACAGTCGTCGTTCCCAGACTGCCTTCACCACAACACCCCCCGTCAGGGTCAATGCCTGACCTGCGTAATCAAACTCCACCCGCCGACGCAGCTTGAGCCTCTACGACTGCTAAACATCATGGTATTATATTCAAAATCGCGAGCTTTGAATACAGCTTCATCAGCATTTAATTTAACAAAAGAAAATAATCTTCACACTATATGGTAACAAGACGTTGGTTAATTTTGATAAAAATAAAGGGAATAATGTACAGGCCTTTATAATGCTAGGAATCATTTTCGTCACCTTTGTTTGCACGGGATTTAAGGCGCTGTCTCTGGATGGTAAGAGGTGCACATAAAAAGTATGAAAAAAACTAGCTCATCTTCGTTCCTTTAAGGTAAATTTCGCACCTCTCAGTATGAAGAGCACCCTTAATGTGGATGGTGTTTAAGTTTCGTGGGAGGTGGGGCGTAGAGTTTGATGGGGATAAATGGTGAGATGTAAAGGGTTAATCGAGCGAAGACAAAATGGAAAGAGAGCAGGTACAGCGAGTATAAGCGTAGGATTAGAATAAAACATAACGAAAAAGAGCTTAAAAAAAAAAAAAAGAAAAAAGAAAAAAAAGAAAAAAAAGAAAAAAAAAAAAGAAAAAGAAAAAGAAAAAAGGGTACAGGTAAATAGTGGCCCCAGGTACCTCCCGAAAAAGTAGAGTGCTCTCAGCTCAACACTTGCAAAGGTAGCGATGCAGGTCATTAGCCAATGCAACCTAGAACATGCCACGCAATATGATGCCAAATTCCTAAAATTGGCATTCGAATAGCACTAATGGGCGGTGTTAGACGCACGGTTGGCCCAGCTGCCACTGCTTTGGGCCGCTCGCTGTGTAGAAGAGTGTGGATGTTTTCTTGATGCGTGGGAATGGCTATAGTTGCCAGATCCGTCTCTAGGCTTCGCATTTTTCCGCTGTTTGAAGGTTGAAGGACCCCTCGGGCGGGGAGGCGTGTTGCCTCCCTTCTTTGGCAACATGAGTGTCTTGGCTGCATCCCCACCGGGTAAATGAATGATAACTGATGTATTGTCATCGTCAAAAAAACCCGCAATATACGGCTCAATGCTCAAGGGCTGGACAGGCTTCTGATATTTAGGGCGCAAGCGGGAATGTGGTGGTGGGAGAGCTGGTAGCCACGCAGCCTTGGGAGCTATGATTGGCAATTTCACAACTGGAGTCGAGCCTGCTTCCCGGTCTTCAAAAATAGCCTCCTCATCCTCAACATCCTTAGACGTAGCTCTACCGGCATCGCGGAGAAGTTCCATCTCGTCATATTGTGGAAAGGATACGGACGCGGGAGATGTGGATGGCTGAACTTCAAGAGGCTCCTTGGTAGCGGAGGTAACGGCAAGAGCGTAAGTCTTACCCGGTGAAGGCTTTTTACCAAACAACCCATTAAATCTGTCTTGCCATGACGTGGTGTTCGCAATGAGTTGAGGAGGGGGACGGACTGCCGGAGCCGCAGCCATGGAAGCGAACGTGGCGGGCGGAGGTGGTGGTGAGGTTTGCCGCGGAGGGAGTTTCACACGAGGTTTCGGGGTTGGCAAGTGGACCAACGGCCGATTAGAATCTCCAGTAAAAACTGGGTGGCTGGAAATATCGTCTGGTGGAGGCGGTGAAGGGCTTTGGGGATATATGTTAGGGATATTTGCCGGCCTTCTAAGCTGGTCCCCACCGGGAGGGAAAAATCTCGATTCTCTTCCGGTAGCATTCGGGAGGGTCTTCGTAGACACATCGGAGAAAGGCAATGGAGGAACTGCTGGCGGGAATCCATGCAACGGTGGAAGTGATGCTCCCCGATCATTCGTTCTGGTAGTCCCGTGGCGCTGACCAGTTGGATCATTCTCGACTTGCCGCCATGTTTCATTAAATGAAACTTGAAGGGAGGCAGGGCTAAGGCCGCTCCGCGTTTCTTCATCACGCAAGGCTGCAAATTCTCGATGAAAGTTCTCACCCCCGTCCAGTTCTGCTTTCGCTGCAACAGTATGGAAATCATTCCAGCCAGCTGCGTCCTGGGATCGACGGGAGACTTGGTCATTTTGCCACCGTTGTGGTTGTGTATGGGAGCTTGGGGGCCCTATAGGTGTTGGTCGAGCAATTGGCTTAAGAGGCTCGTTGATGGCAAGTCGAGAAGGTCGTTCTTGGGGGGATGCTAGTGGCGATAACGGACGGCCGTTATCTACCATGGGCTGCGGCCTTTCGGTACTTCCAAGTCGATCTGCTGTGGGCGGTAGCCCAATCGTGAGTGGTAAATCTCGGGAAGGAAATCCAGTCAAATTCCTATCGAAAGTGCCATTTCCCAGTGCCTTATCATTGCTTAGTGGGCCCCACAATGACGAAGTCGGAGGGGGATGAGAACTAAGGTTCTGGCCAGACCACGAAGTGTAGGTTGCTGTTCCCGCAAGGGGTCCTTTCCACTGCGGCGGCTTTTCATCTAGAATGGACTCGTGACGTGATTCTGTTGGAGAAGACTCCGTGGAAGGACGTACTCCATTGACATTTGTTGGGAGAGACCTGGCAGATTCTAATTTAGAATCTCGGGAGGGGGATGGCGGTTGGCGGGGTTGGTTGTTTGCGAATGACCGGTCTGGACCTCTTTCGCTCGCTGCTACTAATTTTTTAGCGGATGCTGGATGGTGTACTTTCATCATTCCATATTGTTTTGGCTCCCCGGAAGGTTCAGGAACAGGAGGAGGCTTAGGGGGTGAATAACCAGTTCCTCCTGCCGCTTGCTTTGATAATTCAGACGGCGCAGATGATTCCTCGACGGCTGGCTTTTCCGACGGGCGGTCGGAATGCTTCTCGGGAGTCTTTTCCGATGGTTTTTCAGGGGGCACTCCCATAGCTTGAAGTTTCAATCTAATTCTTTCTTGTTTTGCTGCCTCTTCCCTTTCTTCCTCTTCCTTACGGCGCTGTCTTGCAAGTTCCCTCTTTTCGCGCATGATGCGTTGTTGCATTGCAATCGGATCCTCGAACGGTACCTGCTGTTGTGCTGTCTCGTCTGTTACTGGCGGACCCGATTGTTGAGGGGCACCACCATGAAACCCGGGAGGCGCATAGTGAGTGGATGGAGGCCCTGCGCGGTTTTGGCGAGTGGAGGGTTGGGATGGCGAAATGCCACGAGAGGGGTATGGTCCTCTCTGGTGGGGGAGAGGCGATGATGGCCGTTCATTGACCCCATTAACAGGAGTTTTTCCGAGCGACATCCGGCGACCAAATGCGCCACTTCCTCCGCTAACATTGGAAGATGTACGTCTCCTTCCCCAAGAAGCACCATCAGCAGCTGATCCACGAGACTGGAATGTTGGGGAGGGTTCTGCGAGGTTTGGTTGTTCGTGGGTGGGCCGCTGTAGGAGCGAAGGTGGCCTGAAATTTGCTTCGATTCGAGCTGGGCCTCGTCGAGTATCCAGAACAGGCTCATACCGGCCAGATTGCGAGTTATAAAGTTCACGAGGGGCACTAGAATGAGTATCTCTCCATGACCGATTAAAATCATCTGCCGCAATTTCCTTTGCTGGACCTGAGGTTGCTGGCCCAGGGGCGTGGCCATGAGGGTCACGTTGTGAAAAGCGGGTTGGGGGACCAGGTAGAGGTGGGTTGATGGTCACAGGGGGAACTTTGTCAATTGGAGGTAGAGGAGCCCAAGGAGATCTGTGAGCTGCAGACTGAGCTCTGGAAGTAAGGGTCGGTTTCTCGTTGTGTCCCTTTGTCTCCCCTGATCTGTGTTGTTTATCAGCGCCTGCTCCAAGTTTCAGTACAGTCGCATTTGGGCCCGCAGAACTAGTTTTAGAAAGTAAGAGCTTGGATCTGCTTTCGAGCGAGGGAGGAGACGGCTTTCTGTCCTTCGTTGTATCTTTCTCTTTCTCTCCAGGGAGCGGAACATTTTCTGTTTGAGTGAGTTTAATCTTCGTGCCGTCATTCCATTCTATTACTTCAGGAGCCCAATCGTCCTCGTCATCATCGATATCTGCCCACTTAGCTTCCGTTCCGTTCCCATCTTCCTGAATCCTGGAGGTCATGTGTATTCCATATTGCTTTTTCAGCTCCTCATCTGTTAGGTGTTTGGTTGGTGGTTGGACAGCTGTTTGCTATAGTTAGCATCGTAATACTCAGAATTAACATGTAGTTTCGGCGTCTCACGTCTGTTTTTGTTCCAGACCTGATTTGGATCAGGACCACCATTGCCACTTTTACTACCAATACCCGTCAACTTCGGTGTCGAGTCTCGCAGCCCACCTGTCGACTTCGCCACCAATCGAGGTTTTGCAGGTTGTGAAACTGATGGAGTTGAAGATGCAGATGCAAACGACGCTGCGGACAAATTAGTTACACGTCTCGCGGAATGGTGTCGGTTCACTTACTCTTGTCCGCACTTGCTTTGGATGTCTGCAGGGGCCCTGGTGATTTCGTAACGGAAAACTTGGCGTAGGAGACTGGTTTGAATACGGACGTTCTCTTAACGGAGTTAGTGCGTATATGTTGGCTCCGGTCCGCTGATGATCGGAGATCCGTTCTACTGGTATCTGTGTCGGATCCTCCACTGGCGTCACCAAGCTGAAGCGGAGACAGTCTATCATCACCGGTATGCGATGTTTCCCCAAGTCCATTGATTGCTGGTTTTCCATCGTTTCTGGTTTCTAAATTATTGTCGCGATTCTTGTTCTACAGTAGGCTCAGTAATGACCATAAAAGCGTCGAGACCCATCTCAAGACTTACAGTTTCATTTCCAAGCGCCGTTGATCTTTCAGGGGTTGATGTTCCTAGCATACCAGGGGTGTCATGCGCTCTCTCCTGTGTCTTTGGGTCGGCTCGCTGTTCAGATTTGCTATCGTTGTTGTTGTCGTTGCTATCGTTGTCATTGTTTGAATTCTGTTGTTTAAACCCCCCCGCGTCCTCTCCAGCATTGATATTGTCGGGTTTGTTTGCAGGAACGTCGGAAGGCGATATCTCGCCGCCCGACCGGGTTTGGTTTACCACATCGTGGCTGCTCTGCTCTGCCATAACAATGCTCGAATCTGCGGAGGTTTGGCGGTTTTGCGATAGTTAGCACTACTACCCTTATCGTCACGCAGTCAAACAGCACGAAAGACAGAAACTTTGAGCACCAGGGGTATCGCAAAATGAAATGCTAAATATACCTCTTATCAAGGACTGAGTTTCGCCACGATAACCACCAAGCTCTCCTCGTACGATGTTTGTCAAAGCGTGGATGACTGAGGTGTGTGAGGTAGGTGAAGTTTCGGTATGGAGCTCAGCTTCCCTTCCGGGCCGGAACGAGCCAAAGGCGGTCGGCAGCCGTTTCGATAATGAAGCAGAGAATACAAGCCGGTGAAGCAAGCCGGATGTCTGGAAGAAATGGACTTCTCTTGGAAAATATCGATGGAGGTGAAGCAATAGGAGAGATACGTGTGGCCAAGCTGGACAGCCCAGATACGGTTAGCGGCGAAGGCCACCGCCGCTTTTTCCTTCCCTCCAAAGGCTGGGTGGGTGGCCGGGTCACCTGAGACTGGCGGCCAAACAAAATGGGTCGGCTGGTGACATCAACCACGGATGTTGTGGATGAAAGTGATTTTGCGAATTAAGTTATTGGTGCCAAATTAACTAGAGGTTATATAGTATTGCTTGCTTTTCTCTTTTTGTCTATCAACCTCTCGGGGAATCAGGAGAGAGCTACCCTACCAGGAGGCCGGGTGACTCCTTCAGCCGAGAAATCCATCCTCCTACTTAAATACAATCCATTGTAGCAAATCCGAATAAACTATCTCGCCATTCCCGTTGGCATATTGACACTGTTGACACAGTTTTCATAATTTTTCATAATTTTTCATTTTATCTCTGCCTTCTGCCTCCTACCTCCCATATATGTACTCTGTATGCATCCTCTAGTTTGGTAATCCGTAAAATAATCACAATGGGTGGCAAATCGGTTCAACTGAGACAACAGAAAATGGGAGTCAATTCTCTAAAAATATGTATTATAGTAGTAACAAGATAGGAAAGTATACTGCATTGTTTTTATATCTATATGTACATGTACATGCGGTTGCACTTTAAGCCCTTCGGCTTCGATTCGATTCGACTAGGGGTTGGAATCAACGACTTAATGCGCATTGTTCTTGTGGTGGCCTTCATGAAGGAATTAGCCTATTAGAAGATGAAGTATCCGTAGCAACAAGGAACTCACGGAGATGGAAGTAGTAATCCATGCTGTAGCCCAAAAGCATCAGTCCCCCAATGGCATGGATAATTGCTGTGATTCATCTCGTCAGCAGGTGAGCCTCAAATTTGAAAACTATGATATATTTCCAAGGGAATAAATATGACATGTAATTTGTCTTGAGTTAAGGGTTCACTCACGCATTGCAGAGGGGTTCTTTCCGAAATATCGAGCTTGGTACCGTCCAAGGAGGCCGGTGGGCTTAATTTCAGGTGCTGCTCCGCGTGGCAGTTTCTCGTAGAAGCCCACTATGCGCTCCATACGGGCGGCATCTTGAGCAGCTCCAATTCCCTATCCCAGTATTAGCCAAGAAAGTTTGCGACAATGTGGGTTTGAGCCAATTGCAGGAATTGTGTGCCGGATAGGCTGGCAACGGAAGGATATGATATGTCCAAACAGCGGGTGGTTGGTAGCGGATAGTAGCTTACGGTAGGAGAAGCAACCTATTTAGAAGTTAGAGATCTAGCGGAAGGGATAATAATTGTAAAGAAGTCGTACCTTGGGGGGAATGAGGGTCGAAAGACCGCGGCGTGCGACGTAGCTCATGGCGAGTGACCTGTGGTATATCAGAATTGTAGAAAGCAGATGTAAGGCTATTGAGGACGGCGTACTTTGATTCGGATAGCAATTGAACCAAAATCGATCGTGGTCGTAGAGTGAGGGTTGAGTATTTTGATGATGAGCTTGCTTCGTCGGAAGAGGATCAGTGGTGAACCACTCCGCGCTAGCCTGATTGGGACACTCCTTCACCCAAACCTAAGTCCTTTCCGCCTCCCCTACAACCAGCCATTCCTATCCTCGATATCTCGATTCCAACTCCACACCACAATGTCTCTATTACGGACTGGAAGGCCGTTTGGCCTAAACGCCGTCTCTTTCAGAGCTTGTCAATTGTCATCTCGGTCCAATGCTCGCTATATCAGTAAGACGCCCTCGCAAGAAGCTGAGGGCGCACCCAAAACAAGCCCAGCCGATGCACCCGGTGCCGTAGTGAGAGGCTCAATAACACGGAAAGAGACTCCTTCAGAGGCAATGGCACGCCATCAGCCAAACTACAATGCTACGGTTGACCACGGCACATCGTAAGGCGACCGCAATATGTCATGTGTGCCATTCCCGGTTGACTAACTGCGTATTTCAGATCATTCTCCCCTGTGCCCAAACGCGTTATGGACGGCAGCGAACCAAGCGGTGCCGTTGCTGCTGCTGTTCTGTCCGGAGCTCCCACCGATCTTCAAGCGCGAACCGTCAGGTATTAGATTTCTGCTAGCCCAATCTCGCTGATTTCCCACCCGCCTTACTAACAAATCGTTAGGATCTTTCAACCCTCGAAACCTGCGACACAATCTGGAACGTGGCATACCCAACACTGGCGAATGGATTGGGATGTTTTGGCGAAAGGCCATCGCTGGGAGAATCCGCTGATGGGATGGCAATCTTCCGCCGATGCCATGCAAGCAACCTTTATTGACTTCAAGTCGAAGGAAGATGCGATAGCTTTTGCCGAAAAGCAGGGATACGAATACTTTGTCCAGGAACCGAATCAACGAGTGTTCCGCCCCAAAGCTTATGCAAACAACTTTTTGCACGAGCCTAAGAAGCTCAAGCATATCAGAACCAAATAGAACAGAGAGTTCAGAAACCTCTTTCCCTTTTTTCCCGTGTATATAGTCTTGAGCCTACAAATATTTTCCATCAACCATGCGGTTTTCTAACCGAAAATGTTAATTCAACATCTATGTTAGTAGAGTATATCTGTGTCCTCGCTGTAAATGAAGACGCAAAGTTTCCAGTCTACGCTGTTTTTGCCGCACCAAAAGTGACGCGATACCTGCAAATCACTGCAATCAGCGGTAAAGCATCCTCCTCACACGTATTCAATCCCAAGCAGCCAATTTTATCTCCCCGTCGCAGAAGCCCCAGGCGATGGCGGAAGCTTATCTCATGGGGGGTGCTGCCACAGCAATCGCCTCTGCAAGTGATCCACACATGTAATATTAGCTTCTCCAAGAATAATGGAGAATCTGTAGAAGAATCAACATTATTATATTATAATCTATCTCGCAAGGTTTTCATATACGCTGCATACACAGTAGAATGTGAGACAGAGTTAACTACGCTGCGTAACCTATAACTTAGTTAACTAACTTAACTAACTTAAGTGTAGGATAGTTGAAGTTCTATTGGCAGAGCTATCTACAAAGAATCTGTTGGGGGTCCCGGGTTGATCGGCCCTGCATGACCTATTTTTGAAATGATGATAGTTGCAGAGTACTTTATCTACGCAGTATATCAATATACATTGTTAGATTCTTCTACCAGCAGTGCGCTGGTGGTGACTGAGCTCTTTTGCCCCAGTAGCCTACAGAATCTACCTAATATAGTGGCGGCCTTAGTTAGAAAGTATTGCTTATGTAATATGTCGGCCCCTCATCCTCCAAAAGAAAAAACCAGGAAGCAGAAAACTTGACCTCGTGTATACAGAAAACTTGACCTCGCTAAGTGCGCCACTTGACCTCGTTATGTAAGCTGACCTTGCAAATGTGGCCTGTGCCACTATCTGACCTCACTCAATACATCTTTTCTTGTAATTTGAAATCACTCAATTATTTATCATCAATTCTACAATTAATTCAAAATCAATTTAAAATCAATTTAAAATCAATTTAATACTGAAATTATTCTTGAATTTAATAATAAAGTAAGTATTTATATAATTTACACTGAATTAATTATTAATTGATTTTCAATCAATTGTTAATTACTTAAATATACAGATTGAATTTATTTTATTACTATAATTAATTAATAATTAATTCAGAATCAATTCAAAATCAATTCAAAATTAATTTAATACTGAAATTATTCTTGAATTTAATAATAATACTGAATTGATTATCAACTGATTTTCAATCAATTATTAATTACTTAAATATATAGATTAAATCTATTTTTATTACTATAATCAATTCAGAATCAATTTAAAATCAATTTAAAATTAATTCAAAATCAATTTAATACTAAAATTATTCTTGAATTTAATAATAAAGTAAGTATTTATATAATTTACACTGAATTGATTATTAATTGATTTTCAATCAATTATTAATTACTTAAATATACAGATTAAATTTATTTTATTACTATAATTAATTAATAATTAATTCAGAATCAATTTAAAATCAATTCAAAATCAATTTAATACTGAAATTATTCTTGAATTTAATAATAATACTGATGTGATGGGCTGCGCCCGATCAATCATATAGACTATTTCATTACACTTCATAGATTCTTCCATTTCTGATCACTGATTCACAGCCACTACAAATGTGTACACTCTGATCCTCAGTCATTCCTGATCACTGATCCGCGGCTGCTATGAACATGTGTAGTGTACACTCTGATTCTCAGTCATTTCTGATCACTGATTCTCAGCTGCTATAAACACGCGTATATTCTTCCACTCTGAAGCTCCATCACATACACCATCACATACATGTATAAATATTCATCTCAATCACTGATTCTCACACTTTCTCTTCTTTCCTTCTCTAACATTTTTATCTTTGTTATATAAGATCTATCAATATTATACTGATCTATTCAGTGTAGGTCTCTTATACTATAAAAATATTCATCATCTTCTTATTAGAAATGATTATCTATCAAGAGATATCTGAACATGTAACAATGTGTAAGAAATAGAGAAACAGTCACACAGTTAAGTGAACACTAAGTTCTTAAATAGAAGCTTACTCATCAGTTACTCTGATCTCATAACAAGATCTTACAAAGAGAATAAGATCTTATATATAAGAGAATATCAGTGAAAGACTCAAGAGTTCTGATACTCAGATATATAAGAATATGATTACACTTCTTCAGATTTCACAGATATTATACATTCAATAATTGATATAATCATGTCTAATAATAATATGAAACTCTTAAACATGAGTATAGACACAGTATCACAGTGACTCTGAGCAATGTTGAAACTATAATAATAATAAATAGCTGATATGCATGTAACTCAATAATGTCAATATGAAGAGATTTAACAATTATTATAATAAGAAACTCATGCAATTTCAATATCTACAGAATCAAATATAAAAGCACTGAAAGAACACTTAGATACTTCTGTATATTTCAATACTTCTGATCTCACTCTCTACTCATCATGAAGAATGGAAATGCTTATGAAACTGAGTGTAGATGAAGATTTCATCAGTTCATTAATCAATCAAGATTGATATATCAATGAATGATTGAAGAATCGCGCAAAACAGAAGTTTCATTTATGAATGAAAGCATGTGAACCAGTGTTGTGAACTTCTGATAATATCATGAAATATCTTGATATTCTGTTCTAAGACACTGTCATACAACAGAAAGTATTAGATTGATTACAGAGTATTCAACAGAGAAACACTTCTCTTACAACATTCATCTCTGACTTCAACATCAAGATTCTAGAAGCAGATGATCAGTCTTAAGAGAATTGAATAAAGATTAACATGCTTAAGAAGACATTGACTTTTGAACTCTTACAGACTCTTGTAAGTGTAGACAAAGACTTAACTTATGAAGACTTCTGCACACAGCTTCAGACAATGAATGATCATCTTATCAAGCTCAAGAATATATAGAATAGTGATAGAAGATGTTACATCTCAGCAACTCATACACTCACACTGAGAAATAACAATGATACAGATGTCATGAATTGAGTAGACTTAAATATCTACACATAAGCAAGAGTCTCTGCTGTTCAAACAGGCTTTCAAGTCTCTGAGATCACTTCTGAAGAAGTTGCTGATTGACATTAACATAGAGTGTGTATCAACTGTAACTGATCAGAACACATTGCTTTCAACTGCTGATCAACTTATATACCTTCTCATTTGAAGAATGAATCAGTGCCTGTCTGCGTCAATCACATTGCATTAGAGAAAGATTTGAAGAATAACTATGAGAATACTCTGATAAAACAGAAAAAAGATTAGCTTCTGTTCAAATTTACAAACAGAAGCTTGAAGAGATCAGATAACAATAATTTAAAGAGAAGATGACAATGAATGCAATTCTTGTATTCACTGTGATTAATAACATGTATAATATAAAGACTATGATAGACAGTGATCTATGTCACTATGCAATGATAAAATCTTCAGTTGTAAGATGTCATAACCTTCAGTATATTCCTCTATTAAAACCCTGACTTCTCACAGAATTTGATAATTTAAAAGACATTTGTACCTGTTACATGATGAAGCTGATCATAGATGTAGAAGAACATCAATATAAAGATATCTATATATATGAAGTTAATAATCTTGATTATAATCTTATGTTAGAACTTGTCTGACTATCTGAATAAGACATCTTATTAAATGCTTGAAACAGAAGCTTGATATTTCCTAACAATGATAGAGTTCATGAAGATGATATTCACAAGATTATGAACCTGACACAGATCTCTGTCAATGCATATAAAATACTCTGAAAAAGAAGTCATTATTAAAATCACTGACAGAGTTACTGACAGCAAGATCATGTATCAATCTATTTCACTAGTCTGACTGATATTAAAAAGACTCTAGAAAAGTTATCTCATATTATAATAACAGATTCTTGTATGAAACTCTCTTAATAATATCATGAATATCTAGATGTCTTCTGATAAGATAATATTACAAATATATCTCTCTTACAAGATTCTGAAGTGAATCACAGTATTAAGTTAGAGAAAAAGAATGATAAGAACTCTGAACTGTTATGAGACTCTCTTTATAACATGTTCTGAGATGAACTTCTTCTTCTTCAAAAGACACTCAATGATCTGTTGAATAAAGAATTCATATACATTAGTAACTTCTTCACCGCAGCCTCTATTCTCTTTGCAAAGAAATCAGGTGAAGAACTCTGATTCTGTGTGAACTACTGAGATCTGAACAGATTGACAAAGAAAGATTGATATCTCTTATCCCTTATCAATGAAACTCTAGCATGAATCAGATGAGCTCAATAATTTACAAAACTAGATGTTATTACTGTGTTTCATAAGATTTATATCACTGAAGAAGATGAATGACTTACAGCATTTCAAACATATTATAACCTCTTTGAATGAATAGTCACACTCTTTGAACTGACTAATACTCTCAGTACATTTCAGAAGTATATCAACTGAGTGCTCTGAGACTTTCTTGATAAGTTTGCATCTGCTTATCTAGATGATATTCTCATCTTCACTAATGAATTCAGAAAAGAATATCAGAAATATGTGTAAAAGATATTACAACAGCTATAAGAAGCAGAACTACTGATAGATATTGATAAGTGTGATTTTAAAGTCAAGAGTATCAAGTATCTGAGTTTTATTATAGAAGCTGGTAAGAGAATTCAAATGAATTCTGAGAAAGTCTTCACTATTCTTGAATGAGAAGCTCTGTGTACTGTGAAAGATGTATGAAGCTTCATCAGATTTACTAACTTCTATCAGCAATTTATACAAAACTTCTCAGATATCACAAGACCACTTACAGATCTCACTAAGAAAGACTCAGTATTTCAATGATCAGTGAACACTAAAGCTGCATTTACACAGATAAAGAAGATGTTCATCAATATCTCTCTGCTAATAACATTTAATTCTGATCATAAGACAGTTGTTAAAGCTGATTTCTCTGACTATGTGATAGAAGAAGTGATATTATAATATGATGATGAAGATGTTCTACAATTATGTGTCTTTATATTTAAGAAACTGAGTTCTGCTGAATGCAATTATGAGATCTATGATAAGAAACTTCTTGCAATTGTACACTGTTTAGAAGAATGAGACTCTGAACTTTGAAGTGTCTCTGAATTTGAGATAGTCACAGATTATAAGAATCTCAAATACTTCACAACTATCTGTAAACTTATCAAATAACAGATATAATGATCTGAGTTTCTAAGTCACTTTCATTTTACAATACACTATCATTCTGACAGTCAGAACTCAATGACAGATGCTCTCTTATAACA